AAAGTGTTCTTTTGTCAAGGCCTTCTCTTTTGTTTACTGTCACAACTAGTGCATAGCTATTTTTAGACATATTGTACGGACAGAAAATGTCTGTTTTAGAGTCTTGAAGATCTGCAGCTTCACACATTGTTGCATACAATCATCCAAAATGTTCAGGCCAATGAACTTGTGTAACTCATGCTTAATGAGCAGCCCCTCTATTAGGAAAAATAAAGCAGATAAGATTTCCTGCCTTGTTTTTCCAATTTTTGCCATATCAGCCTCATTATATTATATTACATGTGAGAGTGTATGTGGAAAGCAGGTGGTTAAAACATTGAAATACAACGTTGTTGTACGTATACAACAACCTGATTATAACCAGCTAAGGGGAAGTATTTTCAACTTATATGCAAATACTTTAAAACCTGAGTGTGTGGATACACTGGAAATTTTAGACCAGTTGATTTGGGCATCACTTCTGATTGGAGCACAGTTTGGACTATTTGGTTTTGATAAAATCATACATTGTGTAATATTTACGACAGGAATCCAGACCTCTACATCACATGTGTGAGTGGGAGAAATAATGATAGAAGGGCAGGCAAATGTGGTGTGCCATGCCTGCCATGCAAGTCTTATCAAATAATATATGGTTCAGATCATCAAGGTTTCAGTGCAGTGCCACAGTTCATCTGAAGTTCAGCTCCCTCTGACAAGTTAATTTACCTCTAGTGGCAGTAGCTCCGTCCGTAGGGACCGGAGGGTTGCTGGTCAAAGTCCAGAATGAACCGCAGTATGGAGTCTGGACTGGTAGCTGGAGAAGTGCCAGTTCACCTCCTGGGCCCTGCCAAGGTCCCTTTGAGCAAGGAACCCCTAACTTCCCATCACTCCACCATCTCCCCACATTTGCATGTCTGTAAGACCTGTGTGTGTGTGTGTTCACCATGTGAACAGTGAAAATTTCTCCATTGGGTATTCATAAATTAAATCTTTCTCTCTGCTGTTTACAGTCCTTGTTTTCCACGTCTCCATCCACCATTTCAACCAAATTTGGCTTTTATCTGTGTCTTTCCCTTTTATATGAAAATTTCTTTTTTATAAATGTTTATTTTGGTATCACATGTATTTGTGCTCTCCAGGAAATGGAAATTTGGGATTGCTTATAGCGACATGACTGCAATCATAGGCTACCTCTGTCGATTTCTTTGTGTATACATAAGGAAATAATTCATTAAGTGAAGGGAAGTCAGTCTTTGTAGGTTTTAATAATCTTAAAGGACTGTTCCCAAATTAGATATTCTCAGTTGATGAAAGCATACATACCTCTTATCAATGTTTTTTTCCATTTATATTATAGTCTTTATCCTGCTTTAATTCTGTACATGTGCTCCAAAGGGCATTGAGTGGGTGTCTTTGAGAAAGGATCGGCATGGTTAGCAAATGTACAAATATAAAGCTTGTTATTTGGGGTGGTCTTGAAATATCTTTCATGTTTGAATTATAAAACAACACAACCTTGAGTATACGTTTTTTTTTTTTTACCCTGTACAACCTTAGTTTGGATTGTGGAAAAGGCTAAAGTACGATGTAAAAACCTTAACCAAACTGTGAATATAAAAAAAATCAATATAAACATGCTCTCTGTTATCTTGACCAACACCACCCACCCCTTAATATAATTTTGCTCTTTCACAGAAACATCTCCGAAAAGTAATGTGGTGGAAACAACCGAATGTTACCAGGGCAGAGGAGAGGGTTATAGGGGGACAGTAGATGTGATGCCCACTGGACTCACCTGCCAACGCTGGGATTCTCAGTATCCCCATAATCACACATTCACACCTCAAGCCTACCCCTGCAAGTGAGTCAGACTCTCACATAAGACTTGCATTCACTCACTCACCCATGTGCGTGCACTTACAGCTGATTACTTGATGCTTTCTCTGTGCTTTCCAGAGACCTGAGGGAAAACTACTGTCGGAATCCAGATGGCCATGAATTCCCCTGGTGCTTCACTACGGACCCAAGAGTCCGCAGAATGTTCTGCACCAACATCCCTGAGTGCGGCACCCAAAACAAGCCCCGTGGTGAGAGACTCGACAGCTTCATTTGACAGTCAAAACAGCAAGGGAAAAGCTGATTTTCTCTACCTTCAATGCAGGAAGAATATTCTGCATTTTCATATTTTGTGAACCGTTGAGTTCACATGAAACTCTGTAACCACACATATTGGCTTGTAACCACGTTGTCTCCATCCCTGTGGAGAACTGTAGCCCTATAGGACTGTGGGAAGGACTGACCACCGTGCCTCACATAAACCAACTCTGACAGCAGCTCAAGATCGTCAGGTCTCACTGGAGAGTGAAAGATGGAATAGAAGGATTAGTGCTGGATGGGATTCTTTCTGGGTTAGCAAGAGATTTTGAGGCAAAAGATGTAGATATATGGTACACAAATGCAAATTTCCCAAGGGATCCTAGAGATATGTCTTTCGAGATTATGTGACCTTCCATTGGGATTATAAACCTCTCTGAGGTTGTGTTGTGGTCTACCCTCAGGGGTTGAAAATGTTCCCACATAGAAAACAGATGCAGGGTGACAGACAGCTTCAAAACCAAATTTAGGACCTGTGTTTTTCTAAGGCATCATTGTGGACGACTTCTTTGTGTTCTCAGCTCTGCATATTCTATCTAGATCCAATGACAACCACGATAGCTCAGAAACTATGTGCTGTTTTTATTCTTCTGTATATAATTGACTAGTTCTTGTTTTTTATAAGTCAGTAGTTTAACAATACTGTATGTCAAAGAATGCACAAAAACTATTGTTGTGGTGATGCAGGTTTTTAAAGCCTTAGTAGTGTTAAGTACTGCCCGTTGTTAATGGTTTTTGTTTAATGCTGTTTGTTCGCACAGACAAGTGTATGTAAGTATGTGTCTAGAATGCCTGTCTCATTTTATTTGCTCTTTTTGTCCAAATACAGACTGCTATGAAGGCTTTGGAGAGAATTACCAAGGAGAGCAGTCAAGGACTAGATCAAACCTGCCCTGTGCTCCCTGGAGAGACCACAGCCACAGGTTGGCCCACTGGATTTGTGCTACTTTCTAACCTAATAACTTTCCCAAACTCCACTATGATGTACAAAACAGACCTGCACCATCAATAAACTGCAGACAAGCGCCTCTGCCTAAAATAGAGATCAAGATGCTTGAGAAATTAGCACTTTGTGATACAAGCTTGGACATGAAAGCCTGTGTGCAGGGGAATATGTCTGTGTTTTTGAGAACCATTTGTGTGAACCCGAGATGTGGTGGTTAGTGCGGGGAGGCGCCTTATTATTGACCTCTAGTTAAGTCTTACTGTTGTTAGCGGATCAAGTCAGACCTCTTGCTTCTCAGAGGAGAAAACGGCTCCTGCGGGTGCCGTGACTAACCTCTCCAGCATCTCTTAATGGCTGGAGAAGTGTTTCCCTAAAGATGACCTAACTCAGCAGGAATGACTCTCAGTGATAACTTGGCTGGGGGATATACACTTCACTACTCACCTTTGACCCTAAATCCCTCCTTTGTAGGAACACTTCAAAGACAATCAACTCCACCACTTGGCTACTGCCCAGGGGTCAAAAGTCAGAGTTAGGGAGTCGGAGTAAGAGCTGGCTGTTATGCTAGCTGCTAGAAATACAACACACACAAACACAGATTTAAAAGTCTGGATCACTGTGATTTGGTATCTAGCATCCCCTCTCCCTCGATGCCTTTTCCATTATAATTGTCTACCTTATAAGTCAAGGAATTCAGTGTGGGAAAGGATTCTGTTTGTGGTTTTAAAACTCTTATGACAATATCATGTGTGGGATAAGTCTGCATTAGCATGTATTAGATATTTGAGTGTAGGTGTCTGCGTACTGTCTTAGTGAGTAATTCCTTCGCAGATCACCTTCTTATCTTGTCCAGTAATACAGAGCCTATGCAGCTGTGGAGTTTGACTGTCCAGATCCTATCTGGCTAAAGCTCCTATTAATAGTTATAAATCACTAGCAAATCCTTTCATTAACAGGCGAATTATCTGTTTAAAAGGCAAAAAAACACTTCTTTTGCTTTTAAAATTGTCTTTGAAACTGAATGTTGTTGACAGATAAGATATTGAATCTTTTGTGTTTGTGTGTTTGTCCAGTGGTGAGAGGGGCATGCTGATGGCTGGCCTAGAGGGAAACTTCTGCAGAAACCCTGATAAAGACAAACATGGTCCTTGGTGTTACACCAACAACTCGGCCATTCCCTGGGACTACTGTCATGTAAAGCCATGTGAGTTCATGGAAGTGTGTACGTGTAGTACCTTCATAGACACACACACAATCACAGAGACACAGTTAAGGAAAACAATCTGTAAGAATCTGAAATTGAAAGTTTGTCATACTACTTGATCTAAAATATAGCTAGTGTAGATTTCACTCTGTCTGGTGGTCTGTCTCACTTACACACACACACACACACATTTTATTTGCAGTGTGTAGATCTGTCTACACTCAGAGGTCATTGTGTGTCAGAGGAGATTCACAACTCATCCTGCAGACAGGGGAAGGCTCCTTTTAACTATTCCCACATGGACTAAGAGCCAGAGGCATCATGACTGTGTGCATGTGTGTGTGTGTTTTCATGTTTTTTGTGAGTTTCTCCTACATACTACTTTACAGCCCACTCTAATTCCCAGGCCGTCAAATACATATGTGAGCAATGTTCAGTTAGTTCTAATCTGAAACTTCACCGCTAGATGCCATTAAATCCTTCACACTGTGCCTTTAAAGGACCATACGATTTTACATGTTTTAGCATATCCACTACACATGCTAAATACTCATTGGAATCAATGCTGCTGTGTTTTAGAAAGGTTACTACATTTTGTCTACTGTTGCATTAATGGTATGAGGTAATGCAATGTAGCCATGTAAACTGTTTTAACATGCAAGAAAAATGTAATGTTACAAATTAAACAAGATTTTCACTATGATGGATTACACGAAGTATGCAGGTTATGAGAGTGCGTTACTTCATTTTCATACTGTACAGATATTAATGGAAACCAGTTGCTGGCCTGGAACTACATAAAAAGTATATTAAAAAAATCAATAACTTTTTATCTAGCATTTAATGGTCTTGCATAAATGCTACATAGCTTAAACTTACAAACACATAGTATGATCCTTTAAGGCTTGCTACATTCAATCATAGCCCTCCAGGTTTGACCAAAAAAATTATTGTGACATGACAGACAAAGACCCTGGTGGCTGTGGTTGTTTGAAATGTACACCCCTGTGTGAGGTCGCTTCTTATCTTGTATCAGTTAATACTTGTTTGTCTCCTCTCTTCTCTACAGGTGATGCATCACAGAACACCATTCCGCTGGGTGAGTGTCTTTGTCAGCTGGTCTGTCTGTCTATGTTTGAGACTGGCTCAGCCAATGATCTGTATTTGATAGCCTCCACAGCCAGTAGTGGTGTTTTCAGAACCTGATTGAGTCCCTTTTATGTGCAGCTATTATGGTACATGATGCAGGACATTATTTTGCCATGGTGTCATCTGTTTTGTGTATGTGTGTATATAGGAGTGTGTGTGTGTGTGTGTGTGTGTGTGTGTGTGTGTGTCTGTGTGACTCGTTCTTTGCACATAATAACTCAAGAACAGAAGATGAACCCCTCAATCTCTTGACATAGAGAGTTCAAATTACAGCACTGTTATATATGAACATTTTTAATAATTACCTTAATGAATTACCTCATCAGCGTAACTGGTTATGCTTTATGTATAATGATGATTACGGCAGATCATTAGGCAGCTCAAGTGCCTTTTATATTGTGACTGTGTCACCATTAATCTACATGCCTGTGCCAGTGATTGCATGTTTATGTCCTAAATTAAATCAATATGACAAGAGATATAAAATATTTACGTGTGTGTTTCTGCATTTCCAGGTGAGCTGTCATCTGTGGGGTGTTTTGTCCATAAGAGGACCAGGATTGTGGGAGGTGGTCCAGTGGGCATATCAGACGGCAGTTGGATGGTCAGCATACAGAAAGGGTAAGACTGTGTGTTTAATTTCTGCACATTTTCTTCTACCACAGAAGAAGAACTGAGCTGTTAGCATGGCTGACTGCATTGTAAATGCCATATATTACTATATATATTGTTAGCCCTGCACTACTACCTCTGCAAAGTGTGTGATATGATCAAGTTTGTGATGCGATTCTGCACTAACATTGTATTGAATCATGTACTACTATATGTCTCTCTGTTAAAATTGTTAACATTTGGGGGAACAACTCAAACAGGTTTCTAGTAATTTATCAACATACGGTTTTTAACAGTGACAGTATTATTTCATGTACAGTGTGTAATTCTGTCATTTGTGCTTTGTGCTCTTTTTAGGTCAATGCACTGGTGTGGGGGTTCACTAATAAGAGAGGAGTGGGTACTCACTGACAGACAATGCTTCTCTTCATGGTAACTTCAGCAATTGCCGTCTGTTAATGTCATTTATTTCCTTTAGCTTGAACCTTAAACTGTCAGTAAATTTTGCTTGTATACCCTCAGTGTATTGAGTACAGATGTACTTGTTCAGTTCACTCTCTGTATTTTAGGCAAAAGTTCCTAACTGACTTTCTTCAGTTGCTACTGTCTGTCCTGATCACTCTGAGCTTGAAGAGAGTATTAAATGTGGAATATTTTTATTAAGTATTAAATCTGTCTTCTGCCTCTCCAGTGTTCCAGACCTCAGTGAGTATCGGGTGTGGCTCGGGGTCTCAGATATTCGTGAGGGTGCTCCTGACAGGTCCAAGAGACAGGAAGTCAGCATAGCTCATGTGATATGTGGTCCTGAGGGCTCTAGTTTAGCCCTCTTAAGGCTGTCTAAGTGAGTACCTGGAAAAATAATCTCAAACGTATATTGATAGGTAAAAATGTGTGTGTGTGATATTGATCATGCTTTGCACTTTCTGTGTTCATTAAATATGTCCAGGCCTGCCCTTCCTGCAGAAAACGTCCATACAATTCAGTTACCTGTGGCTGGGTGCTCCATCCCAGAAGGAAGATTATGTAAAATGTATGGATGGGGAGAGACCAAAGGTACTGATATTCTATATTCTACATTCAGCTGTTAGATACATACATACTCTCCAAGTCTCCAAGGTTTTCAATATATTGCATCTGCAGGCATTTCTCCTGGATTATTCTGTATATTCTTTTTTTAATGATATAAGGTGGAGGTGCAAATGTATTTTGCAACACAGTCCTCTCTTAAATAATTGGTTACTGTATAGCTTAGTCCATATGTTTCTCAACCCCCGGTTAGTCCTGTTTGTAGGGTGGCTTGACATACAGATGGGATCATGGAATTGGTAGGATTGGTATTTTTAATAAAAATAAAAATGTGCCATGGTTTCAGTATAAACCATTCTGGCTTCTTTCTCAAAAATAGAAATATGCTAAATATTATATTGCAGTATATTATATTAATGTTACACAAAACATAGGAGTTCTATAATACAATGATGGTATTTGTATTGTGTTTGTATGCATATGCTATAACAGAACTGAGGCTATAAAGTGCAACCATGAACTTTTTCAGGCACTGGCCACGATGACGTACTGAAGGCGGTCGACCTGCCCATTGTCAGTAATGAGAGTTGTAGAGAGATGCACAGAGGGAGCCTCCACATCACCAACACAAAGATCTGTGCAGGAGGCAAGAGAAATGAGGGAGTGTGTGAGGTAAACTGTTACTTGTTCATATTATTTCCCTAGTGAGGTGTTTTACCATTTAAACAAAAGGCTAAATTACTGTTGCTTCAGTGATAAAAAGAAAAACTCCACACTAGAATTCACATGGTGCATTCAACCATTGTGGGGAAACAAGAACAGGCCTTTAGACCTTTGGATAAAGTAATTGTTCTCAGTATTTGCACTTGCTTGGTTCTACACAGCACTTTCAAAGCTCAGTTTGATCCACATGTCAAACAAATGTTTTTTGAATCTGTAGGCTTAGTATTCAGTCTGTTGTAAATAGAGCAGCTGGAGACTGTTGCACTAAATTTCATCAGCGATCAAAGCCTTGGTTTTGTGGTTTCTAGCTTTGGAAGAGTTCACAAATCGTGGTGGTGCCGTTTCTCACTGAGGGTGTGAAAGTGCATTTTGCTTTCATTTAACCCTGTCAGAAATGCAAACAGTGATGATAGTCCTTTCTCACCAGTGACATAGAAAAATGTGCTATTTATTTCTTCTTTTGCAGAGGGATTATGGCGGCCCTCTTGTGTGTCAGGATGGTGAGATCAAGGTTATTGTGGGAGTGAGTGTCCATGGCAGAGGCTGTGCTCGGGCCAACCAGCCTGGAATCTTCATCAATGTGCCCTTCTACACGCAGTGGATCTACAAGGTCTTCAAATATTACCCCAACCCTGAGATTGTCTAGAGACTCAATAGAGGATAAAACTGAACCAGGGGACTTAATCAGACCATAGAGCCTCTACTTCTGTAAATCCAACGGTGCACTCAGGACACCTGGTTTCTATGTTGTTCATACCCACATAGCCCATAGATCAATAAGAATCTGATCTGAGGATGCACTCTTAATAGATGAATGGATGGGGAAACACTGTGAACACATCATAATCAGATACCATACTGATTGATGGCAATTATGAAGAGTAAAAGTTGATACTGTTCATATTTTAGACATAGGAAATGGACTGCTGAAGCAGCTACTAATAAAAGAAGGGACCCAATACAACTTGAATGTTACAGTAACAAAGAAGGATGTCTTTGATTGAGTTGGGAGCAGACCAGGCAAACAAAGACTTGGTTTCATCCATTATACATGTATGTTTTTTTTTTGGTAGCAAATCCACCAGAGTGGTATGTGTGCATGTGAATACTCTTGATTCCTGGCATTACTTGAACATTTTGAACGCCAAAGTGCAGTGGTTCAGCAGCTCCCTCTGAAGAGTACATCAATGGGCCACTTAGAAAACTATCCAGTGGTAGGGCAATGTTAAGGGCACTCTTATCGAGAATCTCCAGGGGCTTAGATAAAGTGGTCCTTACTGTATATAGTATTTTAATGAGTGTATTTGTGACACTCTAACGGTGATTTGGGTCTTATAGATCTATGACAAGAGAAATGAATGTTGTGGTAAGCAGATACATGATGTACAGTGTGTTATCTACATATCAGCTTTCAGTCAAGTTCTGTCTCATAATGAAGTCAGCTGTATGGAAAAAACCCAAATAAACTCCATTTTCAATATTTTAATGTTATTAAGCCACTGACTGTATATATGAAAATGCTCTTTACATTCCGTGTAGATGATGTATGTCTGCTCAACATTTATAGGATTTGAAAAAGAAAGCATGTACGTTTTTCTGCAGCAGTGTCAGTATGCAAAAATAAAACTGCAGAAGGAGAGAGAGAGAGTGAGAGAGAGAGAAAAGAGGAGGAGAGGAGAGAGGAAGAGAGAGAGAGAGAGAGAGAGCATGTTTTAGCCAGAGCTGAATGAATTATCCTCTCTCCACACTCAGACCTTGGAAGACCTCCAATTCCAATCCACTCTGGATATTAGCGTCACAAAGTCTGTCACTTCAAACTTTGTCATGGAAAAGAAGAGATGGTCTTTGTAACTGCATTGTCTGTAATCGTTACTTTACTGACATGACTGAATGGTCCTTGAAACAAATTAACACATCTCTTTTAGCAGTGTAAATGATTGAGATGGCTTTATATTATAACTACATTATGTTTGTAAGAGTGAGAAAATGTTTCTGTGTGTGTGTGTGTGTGTGTGTGCACTGAAAGATGCTGCAAGCTGCTATATTCTACAGGTTGTAAAGAACTGTTTTATTTTTTTCTGTATAATGTACATTCACTATACCTTTCATGGCATCTTATACAATATGCTAAATGTTAAACCCAATAATTTGAAATGTCTTATGATGTCTGTCACTATATTAAATGTTTTTTTTAAATCTATGTGTTACATTTCCATTTCATGTTTTAAGTGTGGCATTCTTTAAACACTCCTATGTGAGTGTTCTGAATGCAAATGTCTATACTCTCATTTCTCCTGCTTGCTGTATAATTAAGTCAAGGCTGTTGTGCTTCCTTACCAGGAGATGGCACCACAGTAGCACAGAGACTATAAAGATGTCTCGTAATCTTAATAATCTCTCTCTCTCTCATTCTCTCTCTCTATCTCTCTGCACACACACATACACACAGCTATTCCTACATTACAGTCACACTCTCATCCACTTACATGCACATACACACACACACACACACACACACCGACACACAGCATAGATTTCAGCCTTGTAGCTGTTCTTGATCAAATACTACAACAGAATGCTGCTGTAACCATATTCAGAGTTTAATAGACAGGCATACAAGTGTGTCTATATGTGTTACTGTGTGTTACTGTGTGTGTGTGTGTGTGCACGTAAGGGTGAGAATTGGATGGAGTGAAAGTGAGAATGCGCAGGAAAGCGGGGACTGAGAGAGAGAGATTAATTGTGAATCCATTGATGCTGTATTAAGGAACTTATGGAGCAAGCAGAAAATACGTGGGGATCGACATTTTCTGTTGCCATGCACACTGTGTGTGCTGTGCGCTGATGCTGACACAATACACACGTATACAGTACACACACACACACACACACACACACAGCACTCTGTGATAACAGCTACTGTAGAAGCATCAAAGGGAGATGAAGTGTAAGAAGTTTGCTTTCATCTGCAGGTCAGCTGGATGGACAGATAGACAGAAAATGTAGACATAAACAAGAAGACGGACAGAAGAACAACTGCAAACACACACACACAACCAAACACAACACACAACAACACAACACACACACACACAAGGCTGAGTGGCTAACTTGACCCTGGCTCAGTGCACCGTGAGATCTACAGCATACATGAGGCTAATGATCCAGAGAACATGGCTTATGTCAGGGCTATTCATGCTGGCGTGAAAGCATTTGTGTGTGTGTGTGTGTGTGTGAGAGGGAGTGTTAGAAAAGGAAGAGACTGAGAAATGTACATTCACTCATGGGCCAAAATACTCTGTCTTTTAGTGTGTGGCCTAATTTCCCAAAGTGGTTTGATTACAAACATGTTTAAAACTGATTAACCCCTTTAGATGTATCATCGTTTATTGAAGGGGGTCCCACAATAAAGTAGTAAGTAAGTAAGAAGGAAGTATGTTATGATTGAGAACAAAAATAAATTTCCAAACAACAATGAATTTTTTATAACCTTCATCAATGCAGTTACTGGCAAATATTGCAAGGAGGAAATCAAGAAAAAAATAATTTGTCGTCCTGCAATGTGACATATTAAGAAGTAAAGGGAGACAGGTACTGATGTTTTCTGAGGCATCACAGCTATGGATTTTCAGTATGTTGAAAAGTTGTTGTTCTACCCCTCTTCTAAACCTTTAATGTGGTCTGTTACACAGTGGAGACAAGTACAGCTTGTACCCAAGAACTCGCAAGCTCTGCTGTTCATGTAAGGGTGCATGAACAAATTCCGACTGAGTTGGTGTTATGGATAAATGTGGAATTTGCTGATAAAATTTCAAGCTAAATCTCTAGCTGGCTGGCCATTGAAATTCAAACAAAGTAGCAGGCTACTCTCACATACTGCCACAGTTGGCTGATGATTGCATGCAGAGATCTAAGTGCGACTGGTGGCGTCTCAATCCCTTCGTATGTGTGTGTTACGTGTGTGAGTGAGTGAAAGCAAAGAGTGGTTGAGGGAAAGAGGTAAAATGAAGAGAGAGAGACTGATTGTTCAGGGAAAGGCTTTTATAAGCCACAGGACTCCCATTACAGATCATTGAGTTTCAGACTTAGTTAAGAATATCTTTCATAATCTAATCAGGTTGTCTTTGTAATGTCATTTAACCTCTTTTTAGGTACTTTCTCCCCTCTCTGTGGACTCTTCAGTTTTAAGACACTGAGTGTGTGCATGTATAAGTGTCACATGTAGGATTACTACAGTTGAGGCAGAAGGGAGAGTGTGTGTGCGGGATAATAGTAAAGCTTTTAAAATGATCCTTCCTGTATCAATATTTCATCCTGTAACTTGACACATCTTTCTACCCTCACACTTTGTTTACCATCAAAATGATTCTCACCTTTCATAGTATGTTCAGTTAAAAACTACCAGACTGTCAAATGCAACAAAAGGAGAAGAAATGCACTTCAAAAGATAAAGATACTCTCTTTGACTCTGACAGTAACATCAACCACATTACATTAAATTGAAGCCTTTCTCTGGGGACAAATGTGTATGGAATTTTCTCATAGCTTAAAATGTATTGCAGACATTTGTGTCTGTTATTAAGATTCCTACTGACTTACAAAATAAGATTTCATTGAGCTTGCCAGAACATAAAATCTCTGCATACACAATAGCGCACAGTGCTCATGAAATTAACTGTCCGAGTGTTCAATAAACCTCTGGTCTGACTGACTAACTGCCTGACTGATGTCTCATAGTAGAAATGCTCTTGCGTGAGATGAGGCGTGCACCAAGCAAACTCCAAATGAAAAACTTGGCAGCAAAAAGTCATGAATCAGTTGTGGTGAAATTTGAGAAATTTCTTCAGCTTTTCTTATGTAATGGTGCATGATTTCATTAAACTATTTTGTATATGCATTCGTTTGAAGTTTATTTTCCTAAACCTAAAGGTTCTGTAATTATTATTTTGACAATTGATGTTGTATGAGGGTCACTTGTAGTGAAGTACCCAAATAAGTATCACCTGAAGTTCTCCTCAACTCTGCAGAGTGTTGTAGAGGGTTTTAACTTAGTGGTTTGGTTTTATGGCCAATGACTCCAGTGTTTTGGTTGACTCATCAATCTTGTTTCCAGATGCAGCACACTGTTTTTAGTAAAAAGGCTTCACTCCGTACTTGTCAAGTACCAAACACACAAAATTAGCATCTACTGGTGAAAATTGTTGAACAGTTAGTAGCTAAGAAGTCAGATACCACCCTCAGGAAACTGTGGAGGCCAAATCAGAGCTACAAGTAGAGTGAATATTGAAGGTCTATCCATCAGGTGTCCAGAAAACATAACTTTCAATGAATGCCAATGTTAGTAAGGCTACATTCAGGCAAAAAGTGCAGGAAAAAGTGTCCCAAATCAGATTTTTTCAATTCTGATTCTGCTACTGTCATAGGTGGTCAGTTACAAGATTTTTTGCAATGCGACCTTAGTGTGAACAGTGTTTGCACTCTAGATTGACATTTATCACAATTTCATGCTGATGGAGATGGTGAATACAAACAGAAGACAGCTGCGATGGAAATAATCAGTGGTGAGACAGTGAGTGAGGAGTTACACCCAAGTATTTGTTGACACTTCTGTACAAGCAAAACTTGAGAGGTAGAACTGTAACTGGCCTGTGTTTGCATCCACACACACCTCTGTACAGAAGTAGCAGCCATTACTCCACAAAAAAACACAATAAAAAAAATGTGTCTCTCTTTCGCCTCATGTTTACTTCCTTACAACAGTGTGCTGCTGATGTGTAAGCTAGCAGCATGAGACCTCATGGGCCCGCCATAGAGTCCCACTGTTTACTCTCGTTGTGGTTGGACAGTTTGGATCACTGAAAGGTGTGTGCCTGAATACAGGTTGAAGATATTCACTGTTGATTTTAACTTTACACAACAGTAAGAAAAAAATGAAAAAAGACAAGACAATATCTGCAGACATAAAATGTGAGCAATAGTTTGTTTACAACAATCGGATATGTAGTCACGAACATGGAGCTTCCATCATATTTGTGGGCACACGTTTTTCAACACTGTAACAGTTTGCTTTCCAATCATACAACTAGTTTGAACGAGGCTTGCCAAGTCCTGTTTTATATCAATTTAGAAATCCAATTTTTATGTTACCACAACTCAACCCTCAGTCCCAGTTTTGATATATCTTTTAGGAACAGTGATGGGTTACCACAGTGTAGTCCTGATGTTTACAATAACTAACTTGTATCCAAAAAGTCTCTGCCATATTTCAGGAATTAGAAATCTGGCAGAAATAAGTTTGAGTAAAGTGCTCTATCTTTGCTCAGCAAATGCTTTGCAAATAGCCTGAGAAAAGCAGTTAATCCCCAACTGTTCAAATGAAGCTGCTCATCGGCCAATAAATTGACATTATTTTCATACTGGGCAGTTGTGGATACATATAAAATCTTTTCATTCAAACTTTTCCTAACACAGCTGCTTAAATAAAGGATTAGAGTCCTAATGCTTGGAACTGGGAGTGAAAAGTTCTGTCTTGGGCAGTATTTTTACCAATGCACTCTGAATTGTGGTTGTCAAGCTCAGATAATTTAGTGTCACAAAACCTTGCCTGCGGTTCAATCTGTGTCTTTTTTTCATGACATCTCAAGGTCTGGATCAATGGATGAAGTAAATCAGTGGCTGTGGCAGTGGCTGTGTTGATATTAATCATTAGTTATTCAATCAGGGCCCTAGGAGGCAGCACGACAGACTGAGAGACAGGCACGCAGACACACAGCAGGGTGAATCATCAGAGGGGGGAAAGGCTGGGGGACATTAAACAGCGAAGTCTGGGAGAAGTCTCAAAGTGACAACCAACTTCCAAGTTTATGCCCAGAAGTCTTTTTCACATCAAAAATGGCTTTCCATATGGAAAACTTGATGCATTTTTTGATTTGACGATGATGAGATTCTCCCTGTCTAGAGTTGTTCCGATACTGTCACCAGTACCGAAAAAAAATGATATTGGAAGATCTTTATCCCTGACTACTGCACACTGTGGGGAAAAACATAAATACATGTACACAACATATTGTATATTCACACCCATTGAAACTGTTTTCAGACTTCATGAAATACTGTACCATACAGCCAAAATATTTGTGTGTTTGATTTCTGCTGGGACATCATGACTATACTGTCTGTCACGCTATGTAACTT